CCTGAGATGAAGGTCATACTGTTGGTGCACATAGAGTGTAACTAACAACATTGCAACAAATCTTCTTAATAAGGAATGTTCCCAAGCTTAGCAAAGAAGTGAAAGTAGTAAATATAGATAAACATTAGCAAATAAGAATCACACAATGATATTATTAAAGTAAGTAAGTGAGTATAATATTACACATTATGTTAGCTTGCCAGTGTATTCTGGGAGATTTCCTGATATTTTCAGGTGAACTGTTTTTCAATGTTTGTCCTAGAATCAGCGATCAGAGGAAGTGTCTCGAAATGCGATACAGATCCACAGATCTTGACTGACAACCATTCAAGATCTGATGGTGAACTTTGGTCAGAGATCCCAAAATGGTTTTTAAATTATTAATTAATTATATTACATTAAAAACAAAATCCTAACCGGCAGCCTTTAAGATTGTGCTTTGGTTGTTGGTATGACAAAGTGTGGTTCCCTTTAAGGGAGTTTCCAAAAGGTGATCAATAGATTCTTAGTACAGTATTCACATTTGTATCTCCAGACTCTACAGTCACCAAAGACTGTATGCCAGTGTCTTAAGGAAGTACCAAAGGAAATGCCAGGACATGTTGCCCTCCATTGATCTGTCACAGTGCTCCAGGCTCCTGCCCCCGCTCGTTGCCATGCAGTAAATGAATGGACTGTGTCAGAAAGCAGTAAGAGCTTAACTGAAAAAAACACTTGTTTCTAAAGAAGGCACTTAAAATTCAGTATCCTCTTGTATATTATGAGGCTTATTTACTTATGCCGAGGGTCACTTAAGTCACAGTGGTACACGTCTGTGGGACAAAAAGAAGAGCCAGCAGAGAGGTAGAGAAAGATGAAGAAGTGAATACCCTGCAGCATACCAGATGATGAAGACCAAAAGGAGGGAAACAACCTGATTTAATAATGATGCATCTCCTCTTTCCTGTCTCTTCTGGTCTCTTCTCCATCTGCTATTTCACCCTGAGGTGGTGGGCACACAGCAGCACCACATCACTGCCTTTGAAAGCTCCACCTTTTGGCTCCAACTTTACCCTGTCTTCCCCACGTCTTTCATCCCTCATGTCCTCTCTCTTGCCTTTTTAATATTTCTGCAAGATCAGAAGCTTCCTATTTGTGTCTCTCTGTGTCTTATCAGAGGTACACACTTGCAGAAGCAGCACTCTTCCTTTGAATTGGAAATGATAGGACCTTTTTTTTTCATGCCATCATTAGGCTCACAGTGTGAATTGAATATTTACATCTATTTCCCATTGAGAGTACCATGTCCTGAACACATTGTACTTCTGTCTGGCTTGATGTTTGTCAATCAACTTCAATGACACATTTCTATTTAGCGTCTCTTTTCTGTGCTCTTTGTTCGACTCTTGATGTGATGAGAGGTCATGTTTAACAAGGGGTTGGCGTTTCTTTGTGCACATCTGAGTGCAGGCATCTGTTTGGGCACACATAACTCAGAAAAGATGAGTAAAGAAAGAGGAAGAGGAGGACGAAAGGCACGGATAATCTTCCTTTTATTCTTTCAGACAGGGAGCAGAGAGAATGTCAAAACCTGGTGACATTTTGCATTCCACACAAGGATGATTGACACCAACTTTTACCTGTATGTGTACGGCAGACCGAGCTGTGCATACGTGTGTGTGTGTGTGTGTGTGTGTGTGTGTGTGTGTGTGTGTGTGTGTGTGTGTGTGTGTGTGTGTGTGTGTGTGTGTGTGTGTGTGTGTGTGTGTGTGTGCGTGTGTGTGTTTGCATATATATGTGTGTGTGTGCGTTGGAGAAATGGAAGAAGGAAAGTGAAGAGAGAGACCTCAGCTGATACCACGCATATCTCCTTTTTATGTCACTTCACTTATCTTCCCCATTAATGACTCAACCTCGACCCTGAGTTAGAGCGTCAGAGGGTGTAGGTGTCAAGACAGTAGAGAGGATGCGTGTGTGCGTGCACGCGTCTCTTCGTGTTTCAACATGTCTTATTCCATGTGACAGTGGGATATGACTTTTCAGCTCGTTCTATCCGATAAAAAAAAGAGAAGAGAGAGAAGGAGGAATAAAGAACAGCGAGTTAATTACCACCTTCCCTTCAAAGGGGAGATCAAAGCTGCTCCTCGCTCCCCCTGCCTTCCCTCTGTATTCCCCTTCCTCACATCCCAAAACCCCCCCAACCCCTATCAGACTTAGCCTGTTCATTTGTAGTCCCTACTCCTCCCTCATTCATCGGTTATACACATAGGCTTTACACAATGTGTAAGTCATTGACTACGTTCACATGCACACTTATATCACTTATATTGTATTGAGAATACGCCAAAATATGAATTTGATTTGGGTCATCCAAACTGCCAATTTGTTTGAATTTTGACTAAGGGCTATCAAGAGATTTGGGAAGTGTTGTTATTATTAGGGATAAAGAAGCCTTTTACTGGACATGTACTGTATACGGCACATTTGTAATATGAATGTCCAATCGGGTTTGTAGTGTTGTTTGCTGTACAAAGCCTCTGTGCATGGTACACTTTGCCAAAAATAAGCAAAGCTGGGGTACAGATACATGTCCCAAACTAAAAGAACACATTTCTGTTTGGAAGAAAAACATCGCAGTTTTAAATATTGAGAAAATCTTCTACTATTACAGGTTTTTGGATTTGCACGAATATCGCAACACCAAACCAGTGTTATAAGGAATAAAATAGGACGGCTGTGTTTGCAAAGTCATTCAAGAAGGCCACTCGGGGGAAACTTTTCACAAATCCTTTTATGATTGAATGTTATTCAGAGTACTTTTGGCTGCATGTAAACAGGATTATACTGTTGAAGTTTAATTTTAATATTCACGAGCCTTATAATCAGTGTTTTGTAGTGGGAATATGTTTTTTGAGGGCCAATAACATAATATGTTGTGCAGTAAACATCCTCATTAAAAACTAAATGTTTTCCATCGGCCCATTCTACTTATTTGATCAGTTTTTGCTGAGCAGATGTTACACACTTGAAACTGATAAAAATCCAAGTGTGTCCTTTTGTTATGAGCGGCCATTCCTGCCATAAATCATACTCTCACACACACACAACCATAATCTTGCACACACACCGCCATACTCGCGTACACACCTTCAAGGTAATAAATCATGCTTCACATATAATATTCACACCAATGTACTCTAAAAGTTATCATTGTAACTCACACACACCATCATACTGTCTCCAATACATCATTATAACCCGTATATTAATGTTTTTCAGACAGAACAGTGGCATGTTTGACAAAGAGAATTATGAGGTGTGTATGCGTGAATGAAAATGTGCTGGGGATAAGAAACGAGGGCAGTTCATAAGAAGTGGAAATGCATTTGGAATTTCATTTAAACTCTCTTTTGCTTCTATCAGACTCATATACCATCTTCTCATATACACTGTCAATCACTTACCATTATCCTCTCTTACTTGCTGGCATCGTTTCATATTGTGAAATGCTTTTTCATTTGTTCTTCTTTTATTTATGGCTCTTATTGTCACTCTGATCAACTGGTCACAGGAGGGTTTCTTTTTTTTATTTCTGTTAGCTATATATCAAGATAACTGCATCCTTTCAAAAGGTTGACAAGGACAGAACAGGCACTATTGCTTTGTACAATTGATCTTTTAACTGAAAATAAAAAAGAAGAATATTGGCCAACAGACGGCTTTAAGATGAAACCAATTTGGTCCATCTGTTTTGCAGCAGAGTTCAGTTTTATCTATATAATTATCACAGCAGTTTCAGTCAAGACTCCAGTTAGCCACAACACTTAAACACTCAAAGCATGCTCAGCGTCAGATCAAATAAAACAAATGACACTGTCACAGTGCGTGAATATACAGTAGACAAAGTATCATGGTGCCCACAAGAGAGAGTGATGTGCTAAAGTGTATAGTTGTTCAAGTTGAAGACTTTTTATTTTGACATTTTGCTGCCGTTTGGGATTTATTGCTTAAACTGCCTCTCATATTTTGTCTTCCTGTCACAGATCCTGAATCAGAAGTTGTGGCTCCGGCGATTGTGATCGGACCCAAAAACACAACAGTGGTGGCAGGCAGCGAGGTGACGCTGGAGTGCATTGCTAACGCCAGGTATATTTATTATCCGCACACACACTCTCTCACACACACACACTCTCTCACACACACACTCTCACACACACACACACACACACACACACACACACACACACACACACACACACACACACACACACATTCCAAGTGCAAACAATTATTTTCTTGCTGGAGAGCAGTGTTTTCTTCTAGGGCAATTAGAGGACAACATATAAGTCGTTGCTCAGCAAGTCTCTCCCTCTTGTATTAATGTTAAGACTGAAAGCACACACACACACACACACACACACACACACACACACACACACACACACACACACACACACACACACACACACACACACACACGTACGTTCTAAGTTAACGTGAAGAGAAGTTGGTTCATAATCCCTTCTGACATCAGCAGAGAAGCTGTTCACCAACAATCCTCACTGGCCCACACACAGGGGCTACAGTCTAGTCAGATAAAACAGATGTTTTTCGGAGCCAAACAGAACGAGTTTTCATTTACTGATCTGAAATCAGTTTCCTCTCATCTCAAAGATTAACACTGTCAAACCCCCTTTGTGTCCCAAACAAGTACAAAAGCAACTGAGCACTGTCAGACTTAATTAAAATGAAAATGGTATCCTTCATTTCAAACTCATATGTGCATTAATTGGGTCAGATCTTTAATTAAAATATAATAATGAAAATCCATTATTACTATCAGCAAAGGCATTCTCCAACAATATGAAAATTAAAATGGAGAAGCCATTTGATATTTCATTTATTTTTTTCACTTTTTGAAAATAGACATGAATTGACAAGAAAGTGCTTTTCATTCATGTACTTTGTGATAGTCATTTTTAAAGTTTTTTTCAATATGATATGATGAAGGCATGTTTGGCTTTTTGTCCATAATGTGCATTTGTGTTGATCACAGCTTGTGGCGTGTCTTTGTATTCCAACCCAACAACCGCTAGGTGAACCCTGCTCTCAAGACAAAGGGAGCACTTTACACCCGTTGAAATAGGGTGTAAAGTGCTCCTCCTGCGTTTTAATAAGAGTTTACCCAGGGGTTAAAGTAGCTGCATAACTTCTGCAGTTCTAGCCCGTGTTTTCTGTATCAAACACTAAACTCACTGACACCAACGCTGGAGGATGGAGGCAGGTTGGTTGAAATGTATCTTGGCTAGGCACAGTTTCATCCAAGTTTACACACAAGGATAACATTATCAATATTTAACATTTTGTAATGTGCTTTCAGAGGCATGTTCTTGTATGAGTCTTGAAAAGAAAAGAGAGTCAGCTTTGGGCAGATAAAAGCACAATCCCAACAGGCGGTATTCACAGCTTTAGTTGCTAAACATGCTGTATTGAGTTTAACTGCACACTATTTGTTCAAGGTTTTTGCTTTATTATTAATCCAAGCTAGATGTGCTGCTCTGTGAGAGCTGAAGTCCCTTTAAATGTTTCTTTCTCAAACGCACTTGACCAGCACTTGACCACTTGGTAGCACTCAAGGTTCAGTATGAAAAAAGCAAGCGACTAAACCATATCACACAGCACACAAAAAGTGAATATACATATAGTATGTGTAAACACTGTTTTAGCAACAACACAATCCATTCTGATCACGCAAATACTGATCCACACGGTCAGACTGGTCTTCTTTTTAATTTAACACCATGTAATTGGATGCCAACTCTATAACTGTAGACACATTAGCCCACAGTCTGCTGCATTTGTCCTGGAAGAAAAAGACCTCTCCATGGGGGGTATTTCTGATATCAGAGAATCCACTGAAACATACTCACCCCAGAGAGATAATACTGTACCCAGGGAACAGAGAGAAACTATTGTATTGAAGTTTGGGAGAAAGGAAAGTATGATTAAAGAAATAAAGTGCAGTGCTGAAGTCTAAAAGCATCTGCTATCCACATCCATTAACCATTAATCAGTCATATGCACCAATGCAGTGATGGTAGAGTGCTAGGATCATTTGGAGTTTGATTGAAAACAAGCTGTGCCAGCAGGTCTCATATTAAGGGCTGTTAAATCTGCTTTTCTATCTTTGGGTACATTTTGAATTATTTTGTGGACAGGACCCACTGAGTAAGCATATTAAAATGTTGACACAACGGCCCCGCCAAAGCTTTAATTTATTTGTTATCAAACTTTGTTTACACCTCGGGGTGTCTGAGAAAGAAAGCAGCGAGCTCTCAAGTGTATCCATAAAAAAGTCCAACGTTATATAATTATCTACAGTTGGATTGCATATTTATGGGATTTTGTTTCATAGTCATCTTAGTTGCCAACATTCAAAAACATACCACTTGCATTTAACCTTGAGGTGGCTGAATTACCAGCTTGTCTTCGACCCCTTTTATAATAACCTTTGTAAGTGCGATTTAATGTCTTGTCAAAGTGATTGCTATTGGAATTCAAACCAAATATCCTCTGGTGTGATATTAATAGATCATAATAATGTAACATTAATGATCTTTGAACTAATTAATGTTGGAGTTATTATGTGTATTTCCCACACAGCCATTTTAATGAATGGTTCTCAATCTGATTTATTTCTGTTTCTTTAATGACTTGGTTTCACAAACCCCTATAACCAAAAATGGAGGCTATAAGTTATGTACACTGAAAAATATGTATTCCTTGTTGATTTATATTAGCCCCAGCAATGTTTTCTTTTGCTTTGTAATGTAAATGTATCATCTAGTGTTTGCATCGCTATGTTTTGTATTATTTTGGTGGCTTACCGCTTGTGGACAAAGGCTATGATTGAACTACGATCTTTTGAAATGCCCCAAACAAAATGCATTTAGGAAGGCGGTTCCAACTGCTGATTACATAATTAGCTTAGAAAATCAGTTGCACATCTTAATGGAGATTTCCTATAGGAATGGAAATCTTGCCTGAAAATGCACCAAAGAACTGGGCTGCTGTATTAATGCTGTCAAGCACACACACACACACACACACACACACACACACACACACACACACACACACACGCATCAAAAGAATGGTGTTTTGATGTTGTTTATCCAGAACAAATGTTCACTCTACATGAAAACCCATTTCTTTTCTC